AATAATATTATTAGTATTTGGTAGGCTTAACCATTAGCTATTTGTAATATAACGTCTTTCACTTTAGCTGTATCCAGAATTGTTTTAATAATTTCCAGATTGATGTTTTATCACTCTGACTCATGAATCAATTATATGTCGAAAGGTTTTTATATTATTTCTTAATACAAATATCATAGCCCATATTCCGGTCCTTAATAGAGATATTATACAATAAATATATATAGTATGTTATACATAAAGATATATGTTATAGACTATGTTCAGTCACTTTTATATAGATAAATAGTATGAATATCAGCTGATCGGTTAAGCGGTTTGTTTCTGAATCTATTTGGTATACATATATTATTATTATTATTACTAATATAATTATTATAAATATTATTATTATTATTATTATTATTACTATATATAATTATTATTATACATAATAATAATTGATTGCATATCTAAGAACTCAGTTTATCTATAAAAAGTTTTCAGCTTATCCTTACTCCGTGCCATACATCTGAGTTCATTAAACGATTTGGATGTTACTGTGAATACTGTTCGCCTCCATGCTGTCTTTGGACGTGCTCTTCTTCTTGATATCTATATATGCATTTAATCGTATAATTGACAGAATAAATAATTGAAATACAAAAAAAAAAAAACGAAAATATATCTGGCAATTAAAAAAATGTAACTTTATTAATTTATTTCACATTTTTATCTGTTTTTCTGTAATTAGTGCTACAATTTTAATTACAATCTAAAGACTAAGCAGTTAAATAAAAATAATTTTAATAAAATACATAATTTAACTTATATTATATTTTCTATATCTAAAGTATAGTACAACATATAATAAAAAAATGGCAAAACATTCAGAATTTTATAAACGCAAATTCGCACTTAATCGAAACTTCATTTATCCTACTAAGGACCAAGGATAAATATGCAAATCAGGAATAAATTTTTTATAATAAATTAAATCATTGCTTTGCAAAAATAAGCGCAAATTATTAACGTTTATTTTAATTTTCTTATAAGTTTCAATATTAATAATAATTCTGTTTATTTTTTGCGTATAACTTTTTGTTTTTAATTTAAGATTTGAAAAAATTATATTGATTTTTTGAAATAACGTATTTTGTATTAATTTTATATATATAGTAAAAATATATATATGTGTATATATATATGTATTTCTTAACAATTATTTACATGGAGAAAATGCTATTCATTAATTTCTATTAAGTTTCATTAACATTTTTAAGAGAAAATTACTTATTCAATTACTATATATGTCTAATTGTAATGAAATTTATTTTGGTTTCAAATGGAATAAAGTGTAAAGATATACAATTTAAAATTTAAAAAAATTAATTTCTTATTAATTTTTTTATTTATTGCTACACATACGAATTCATTTGTTCATTTATTATTATTATTTTTTTTCTGTTAACTTAAACTAAATATAAACTTTGGCAACATTTTAGTAACCGATTTTATTTGATTTCTACTTAATTTCGATTTACACTCTAAGAATTTAAATCTCTTTATATTGTATTTCAATTTATTTTAAAATATATTATTTAAATTTTGTTTTGAAAAATAATTATTCTGAACTAAATTTTTTGTTCATAAGCCTTTTTTTTGTTAATTTATTTGAATTAATATTAAGTAAAAAAAACTGCATAATTAACTTTAGAAGGTATTGGAAAAATCCAGCAAAAATAATATATAAACAAATATAAAAATAGTTTTTCTTATTTAATATTTTACACAAGGGTAGTCACAACTTAAACTCAAAAAAATTAGAAATATATTTGTGTCTAGTCAAATAGTTCCGACTTAGTTTTTAAAATGTGTCACCAATCCAAAGTTGAAATTTCAAAATTGTTAAAATACACTATTGGATATTATTTTCTGGAAATGTAGTATTTCGTTAACAGTTTGGTTATTCCATCAATCGCAACAACTAACATTGACAGATAATTTTTTGTTTTTGAAAAATAAATGTCCCTAATAGACTGAATGTTCATACTATAATTCCTATTCGATATGATGTTGCCGTTGATCCGGTTAAAGTCACTGTTTTTTTGAAAAAGTCTAGAACATTGCTTAGAAAGTTTTTTAATCTGTGAGATCCCTTTGAATTAAATTTCTGATTTCGGGTCTGTATCACTTTTAGTACCACTTAGGAGCACATTTATCTGATACTAGGATTGTTCACGAACTAACTTACGTATGAATAATATATTTAATGAAGATTGATTCATACATTACATATGTGTATATGTACGTCTTCACATATGTATACATATTATATATTATAATATGGCGAATAAACTAATTTCTAGAGAGCTTTCTTGCTTTTGTATTATTAAACAGTAATCAAGTTCAACAACAAAGATGTTTACATGTAATGAATTTAATTTTCAAAGGTCTTCAGAAATAACTTTTTAGTTTATTAGACCAAATGTAGTTTTTTATGATCTATAAGTGTTAGAACTAGAATATAATTATTTTTGCTGTACTTATTGCCGTTTTCAATTTTTTTGGAGAATTAATCGGCTTATTTATGAAACTTACTTTATTGAACTATTGGAACAATCACTTAATAAACTATAAATTACTCTCCAATAGTTTATCAAAGAAGTTAAAAGAAGCAGACAACCCGCCTAAGCAGACTGACCAAGTAAATATATGGACTTGTTAAATTTAGACAATATTGTTTGAGAAGGTATATAAATTAGAGACAATTAGGTTAATTTGTCTTTTTTATTTTTATAGATAATATTTCTCGTAAAAGAAAGGTGTGTTGAAAAAATTTTGAGGAAATTACATTGAATATAAATCTTTTAGTGCCGGTTTCTCAATCGTATAATAACTTAAACCTTAATAATCACTCAAATCATGCTTTGTTAAATTATTTCATACTAAGGTCAGTTGTGAGATCTAAGTTACGACTTTAAAATCGGGCTTACATGTAAACTTGAAATATCGTCAGGACAAATAAAAAACACTTTTGTTGTCTTTTAATTTCTATTTGAACCCTACATCTAGTTTTGTTTACCTACATCTTGTTTATAGCTTTAATGCTATAAAGCAATATTAGATTTCTAATGTCTCTAGCTACATTTTCACAAGGTAGTTTGGTGTCTGCAGTTGTTTTTATCCGAAGTTAGAGAAATAACGAAACAAAATTTTGTAAGATTGAGTTTGTTAAATCAGATGTACATTATTAAATTAATTAGTATATATTTAGTATATAATTAGTATATATTTAGGATGATATATTCATTTTTCATAAGTTGTCAAAATAGGGTATCAAATTAAATTAACCCAGTATCGTGGTAGAGGGCACAATTGAACCTATATGGTTGAATCTATATGGGTTCAGTTAGTTCTAATCACATTTTCCCCCGGATTATATAGAACTATATAAAGAAAATTTGAAATTAGGTAATTACTTGAATTATATATAAATGTTATTTAAATTGTAAAAATTCAAAAAATGAAATAATATAAATAGAGAAAAACTGTATATATGTGTTTATATATTATTTGCGACTATCCCTTTTCTTTAGGAATTATTGTTATATAAAATTAGAATTCCCACATAGTCGGTGATCTATTTTAATTGTTTTAATGGAAATTTGTGTAATTTGGTAGAGGCTCATGAACAATTTGTTATACATTGCATATTGTTTCCTAATTTAGTATACTTTCGAATTAACATCTCTTTTGTGTTAGTTATTTTATTTTTAAAGTTTAATAAGCAACTTAAATATTAAAACGAAATAGTGTCAGAAAACCTAGTACAATAGAAACTAAAATGTTCCAGTAAAAAGCTATTGTTTTTTTTCAGATCCTATGGAATATCTATTAAAGAGTTTATGTTATTTTATAGATGTTCTCTTACTTACAATAAACTTAGTATACATTAATTTACCTTTTCTTGAAAAGAATAATTAATCTAAAATTATGGATTTTAACTATATATAAATATAAAATGCATTTGTGAAATTGGAATCAAATTCTATTGTACGAGTATTCAGGACCTAAATAATATATCGCCTATCGACAGATACCAAGGGGGTGTTAAGGATTTTCAAAAATACTGTATATTTTAGCAGAGAGTTAAAGGATTATTTGGCAAAAATATTAACCGAATACATTTTACTGGTCTAAGCGAATTGGATTTCTCTCTAGCCATATTTAAAGAACCTAAGCTGTGCGGGTTTTGAGTGATACAACGAGTGTAAGTTCTGAAAAATATTTTTAATGTAGAAAGGTGATAAAAAAATTGAGATTGTAATAAAATGATATAATTTCAAATAAGAAATTCCTTATGGTTTGAATTCTATCTTAGTTCAACTAAAGTTGTTTTCTATCAATAAGGGAGGCTTGTAATAGGATCTTGTGATAATTTTTTTTACGGGAATAGTTTGTCAGCCTACAACTTTATTTCTGGTTGTATAGAATAGAATAGAAATATTAGTTCGTTTTTTTAAATAATAGGATTTTTGTTTCTAATAAATTATTTTTTTCTAATATTTTCTAGTTTCAAACTTTGAAGAAACTCTTATATATATTTTTATAATGTTTTAAAACCAATAAACAAACTTGAAGGAACTTTAGTTTCTATCGTCCAAAGTCTCTAAATTTTGTACTAGGCTTTATAAAATAAAATTATTTAACAATTTTATACATTTAACTAAACTAATGTTATTTTCCCCAAATATAAGCTCATAATAAAAATCTTTGGACATTTTTGTCTTTGGAAATTTTCAAAATTGTTTACGCTTAAAAAAATTGTTTTTACTCTTCATAATTTCATCGTCATCGTTCTCAAGACTGTTTACTTTTTTTTTAGAAAACATCTGTAAAATATGCAACACATAAAATTTTACACATTTTCAAACGACAAACAGATTTTTTACATAATTTTTTTTTTGCATTCATAGCATTTACAACCAATTTTATGTAATATCTACTAAATTTTGATACAATCAAGACAAGGAAAGGTTATAATTAAAAACAAAAATGAAAAACGATTTTTTTGTGATTCGTTAAAATTAAAATTAACAAATAACAAACAATTTTGAAGTGACCAATTTGTACGAAAATCTAACGACTCTAGTCATCTGGGTCCAACCCGATTAGTTCTGCTTGCAAACGGCCCTTAGTCTTACAACAAATGGTTAAACAAAATACTCTGAGTGCAATACGAAATTGTGGTGACATACTCGTCATAATTATAATTTTCCAAAATGAATTTAAGACACCAATCCAGACGACACCAAAATTAATGAGAGTACTTTGGATAACTTCACCTATTATATGTTCGTATAAACGCAAACAGATCCAAGGTAACCATGACATCCAGAATGCAAACACTAATGCGAATGACATCATATGACTAGGATTCGCTAAATTTTCAGCTAATGCAGTTGCATATTCTTTATCGTGTATAGGTTCGCCCGATTTCAATCTTCGCATCATAAAGAAAATATAAGAATAATTATGTACTATCGATATAACGCTAGGACCTAAAACTAAAATTGCTAATGTAGTACTGTACGCAGCCATAGAACCCCAATCCAGCATACATATATGAGTGACATTATTTTCTATGGGCTTGGTATAACCCAAAATCGGAGGGCAGCATAATAATGCTGCCGAGATCCAAGTAAATGCCATCCAACATTGACAGCTATTAAAGAACAGAGAAATAAATACTAAGTTAGTGCAAATAAATTTATATAGAAATTATACATGATAAACTTACCGAGTCTTAGTTTGTACCGTTTCATAACGCAGTGGTTTTCGTACCGCTAAATAACGATCCACTGATATCCACATAAACTATAAAATTGATAAATATTGTTTCAATAATTTATTGAACCGGTAAAAATTCTAATATCTTAACACTTACTGTGTATACGGAAACAGTCCATAGTGTGACTTCTAGATATCCTGTAAAACGACAAACAATATCACCGTACATCCATTCACCGGTCAGTGCTGGATACACCGAAAATGGTACAACCAAAAGACCACATAGTAAATCTGCTACAGCTAATGACAGTAAATAGTAATTGATGACCTCTGTGGGACCTACAGTATTAGAGAAGACTATATGTCAAAAAGATGCAATAAATACGTTCGAGTTAGGAGAAAATAATTATTAAAAAAAGCACGTCTCGCAACTACAACTTAAAAATTTTTTTTTCACTTCTTTTTTTTTTCTAATAAAAGAGCATGCATTATTTTTTTTTGCACATATTTTTTTATTTTATTTATTACCTTTTTTTACTCTCTCCTCTAACTTCTTCATCTTCAATATTTTCACAAAAAAAAAACGTAGCCGAAAGACTTGGTAGACTGAAACTTACCTTTAAAATTGGCATAAGTCGCAATTATTATGAGATTCGAGAGCACAATGGCAACACCTAAGATGGAGATGAGAACGGCTTTAGTAAGTGCCTCCAGTTTGGAATTATCTTGCAGGTAGCTCATTTCCTGCATTTTTGTGAACACTGAAAGGAAAATGAGGAAAATAAATTGTTATTGATATAAAATTGAAGTATATTATATATATATATAACGTATGTTTTTTATTATCTACATACACTTTTAAAAGTGTATATAGAAATCTTGGGGCGAAGTGAAGCAGTTAGCTCACAACCGTACTAGATATATAAAGATGTTTTGGAAAGAGTTAGAGTTAAAGGAAAGAAGACGAATATACTACATATATATAATTAATATTTTTGTACACAGGTATATGATATATCAACTAAATGTTATTTGTTTAAATGAATATAACTGCAGATATAGCAGCTAGCATAAAAGCTAACGTAATTGACCATCTACTTAGTTTAGAGGTCAAGAATTAAAAGAGCAACTGCGATTTTTTTAATATGAGTAGTAGGTGACTAAAATCACAATTTTAATTTATAGGTTGTTCTAAAAAAAAAAAAAAAAAAAAAAAAAAAAATCTGTCAAACGCTGAGAAACTACGGAGTCCATAAGTAACTCTATAGATTCCTGATTGGATACTAGCTTGAGGGCTAGCAAAGCACACCATTCAAGAACTTACGATATAATGTGAGGCGAACTCCGACAGTGGCGAATTAACTATAGTATTCCGAGGATCTGAAGCTTATTATTAAGAGTGCTAATCAATATCAACAAAAATAATTTAGTTATCTATGAATGCATTTTGTACGCTTATTGTAAAGGTGAATTATTATAGGACCGCACTAGTAAGAGCAATGGACTGAAGCGACCATTGAATTCAATTAATTTTATTATGTACTTTGAAAACATATATCGTTTGGTTATTACATGAATGAGAACTTTAAATGGCATAATTCAATGACTTAACTTAGCTCCATAAAAAAAAAATCGAGAGGCGTAAAATCGCACGAACGTGGGGATCAATCAACAGGACTACTTCTAGAAATAATGTTCTTTATATTACAAAATTGATTTCGCAATAAATCGATTGTTAATCGCGCTGTATGGTAAGTTCTGCCGTTTTTCTTCATGTTTGTACCAAATGTTTAATTGATTAATTTTTGGAAACAAAAATTCAGTAAACATGGATCGATAGCGCTCGCCGTAACGGGAGCTAAATCCTCATTTGAAAAAAAAATAAGGACCGATGATGCCGCTAACGTGTAAATCACACCAACAGTCAAATCTTGATGGTTTTGCATCAAACCATTGCTTTCTCACTAAGCCGATTATGTTGAACGTAAAATAGACAAAATGGTCTATGAACTTTGGGAAGAGAATTATTTTTTTCAAAGCATATTTCCATAATTTTGAATGATTCATGATGAATTACCACACCTTACTGAATAGAAACGTCAACACTGTTTGAGATTCTCCGCTGTCAAACCATATGTTAGTTACCGATATCGATGGTTCTCATGCAATTGAAAAAACCCCCGATATATATGTATATGTAGCTCATCAATTTACTTTATACTTTTGCTTGTGTGGATAGCATATAAGACTGATACAAATAGATGTATTAATTTGTGAATAGCAAGTAAATGAATATATTTTAATGAAATGGACCTACTTGAGCCTAAAAATTAAAAATGACATCTCATATTAATATAATTTTATAGGAAAAATAATAATATTAGAAAAGTATAAGGTGATATCAGCGCAATCGTAGGTTATGAAAAAGACTACGATGAAAGCAGAGTATATTATAAAATAATGTATTGCAAATAGTAAATAACGTTACTACAAAATATCGAAAAATCAGTTATCTAGACTTATTGAATTTTCGAATGCTGATAATGAGTTAAATAAACTTAGCATAAAAATTTAAATTTGATTCATATTATTTGATACAATAGTTATCAATTATTGACTTATTTTATTTAAAATTTTAATTCTCAATTACTTTACATTAAAATTTCAATAAATGTCATTAGGATTGTGTGAGCTTGTGTTTTCAGTTAACAGCTGAAATATTGATTTTAATGTAAAAATTTAAACTTGGCGGAAAAGTAGCAAACATTTATTACAATGATAAAATGAAAGCTATAATGAAATATAAGCTTGCAGTAGAAGCTAGATTTAATACGAGGTTAACATAACAATTTAATTACGTTTCATATTATTTGATATAAAAGTCTTCATATATTTATTAAATGCAAGTTAGTGTCTGCCACCAATGAACTGACCATATAAAACAGCTCGTTGAATTCTGAATTATTTAATACAAGTAACACTTTGAAGCCAAGCAAGTTCCGAATGGAATATTATAGAGGCACGGTTGCCACTTATGGTACTTTAGTACCAAAATTGGTACTTTTTTTTTCGTTTTTTCGTTTTTGGTACTCATGTTTAAAAAATGGTACATTTTTGACGACCCAACTTTATTGTGGATATTTCCAAATAATTTTTTTTATAAATCAACTTTGCACTATTTTATATTTTGTTCATTTGTAACACTATGAAAAACACAAAACGAAAAAATAAAAAGGTCCCAAAAAATTTTGGACCTTTTTTTACAGAAATGGTACCTTTTTAAACCAATTTTGGTACAGGAAAAAATTTTCAAGTGGCAACCGTGCTCTTGAAAAAATTAATTTGTTTTTCCTCTTATGACATTTGGTTGTAAATACCTCTGGTTTGAGTTCCCGAATATTCTTATATAGCAGGAAAGGAGTATGTACACGAGCTAGCTATATTTTGTGCATTTTCTATGAAACCCGCCGTTTCAATCATCGCTCCTGTCAGCCATAAATGAAAGTTGTTTTACGACAATTTTTTGCGACAGGCAAAATGGAATTGAGTTTATTTTTCCTTAGCAACCAGGTCGAGAACTACATGGTATGTATACTTTAAATGTAGAAAATTGACTTGGTAAATAGAAACAAATCGGAAGTATCTAATTTAAGATCTCTCCTACCGAGACACTGGTCTATAGGGTGGCATGGAGTTTAGTTCAGCTAACCGTACCATATATCTTGAGGTTCATGTCGAACAGCGCTCGAGAGAAGGACGCTGGAGCACCAGTTGTGTCTATGTCTAGGGTGGTATGGAGCTAGGCTTAGCTTGTTCTGTCATATCTGTTGCAGTCGATGTTTACCGGTGCTCGAAGAGAAGACATCGGAGCATTTGTTGCGTCTATGTATAGGGCGGCATGGAGCTGAGCTGGGCCAGCCCTGCCATATTTGCTACAGTTTATGTCTACCGGCGCTCGAAGAGTAGACATCGGAGCACTTGTTGTGTCTACATCAAAGCTTGTTTAGAACAAGAGTTATTGCGCCACATTATTTACATGTTAAAAACATTAGTATTGGCCTGATACTTGCTTTCATCAATATATTCAGCCAGTTCTAACATGATCCTTGGTCTCCCCACAGTTATGAGGAATATGGAATCGAAACGATTTTCTTAGCAAATTGACTAGGATTCGTTTTTTCTTTCTCTTCACCCACGAATTTAAATTCAAACATAAAAATCTTGCCAAAATCTAGCCTGTGTAGACGCCTACTTATTTTAATAATCATTATTAAACATCTTGTTGTTATAATATATTATAATTATTATTAATATATTATTATGTTTATTTTTTAATAAAAAAATATGTTGTCGTTCATTGCCAACTAGAAGGTTACATAGTAGTCAAATCGAGTATTGCCCAATTATAGAGAAATTGTGCTGTCATGTCAAATATTTTATCGTACCAATAACAAAAATAATCAGACCTATAAATTTTCCAACTGAAATAGTGAAAGTTTTTATGGAAACATATGTTTAGAGTGTATTTAAGCAAATGAGAAAGTCTTACCTTATTTCCGGTCATGACGCTTATGGACTGTGTATGTAAAAACTACTGCCACACCTTCACAGCTGGAGGACTGCAACTGCACCTTTGCTGGTATTTCTTTTTTTCTACTCTTTACTTTCTAGGCTTCCGGTAGACTTCCTTGATGGCAACAATGCGACTAGGCAAACGAAATATGTGTTGTCGTCGTGTCCTTGGAATGTGCACGAAGCGAGAGTGAGGGAGAGAGTAAGAGGGGGTGTATGTATATATGCACTAAATTGAAGTAATAAAATGCACCAGGCAAAATAGTTTGAAGAATGAAGTTATCCTTAGAATGTACTCAAAAGGCGTTGATTATGCCAGCACAAAACACGCGAAGGTTGTTTCGTTATTTTGTTCAAATTCGTTTATATCCTTGTTTTATTTTTTATTTTTTACTTCGTGTTTTTATTTTTTATTTTTATTTATATTGTAACTTTAAATTGGAATTTGAAAAATTACGCCTTCGTCGATATCTTCATGTAAGCGTGGCGGTTCCCTTTGACTTAGTTTGGACTTTAGCCAAATGGGAATTTCGTGAGAAAATAATAATATTTTTTAGCTTAGAAATGTTGTTGTAATCCGGCCTAGGTTAAGGTTAAGGTTAAGTTTCTACGTAAATTGCAGCTGTGCTCTGGCGTGATATTCTATTTTATTTTACTTTTTTTTAATTTTGAATTTTATGATTTAATTTCTTGAATTTTTATTTAAATATTTTAGTTTCTTTTCAAAGCTCGTTTAGATTTTCGTGATTTTTTTTCGTGGTTTTTAAATTTAAATTTTATTTTCAAGGTTCTAATATTTTATTATTATTTTTTTTTCTGAATTATTTATATGTATATATATAGAAGTATTTATTTGTTGTTGCTTTTTATACTTATTGCTATAAAATATTCTACTAATTCACAACACATTTGCAAGAGTATTTTTTTTAAATTTTTATAAAGAGTTCGAATTGTTCTACTTAATTAAATAAATTAATTAAATATTTAATTAGTACATATTTAATAAATTATTAGCTAATGATTATAACAGCATTTAATATTTGAAAAAAATTCAAATTTAATTTTTTTTTACTAAAGTTATTTCATTTATTTTACTAAATATTACGAATTAATTATTGAACTTTTAAAATTTTTTAATAATGGAAGATAATGATTAATTACTTTTATTTAATATATATAAATTTTTTCCAATTTTAAATTGTTTATAATAATTATAAATTTCACTACAAGTATAGCACAGCGTTGTTGTTGTAATTTTTATTTATTTTAGCTAATAATTATTGCATTTTTAATTGTTGTTAATAGTTTGAAAAATTCTTTTAATTTGTGCGCAAAACTGCTGACTGTCAAGCTTGATGCAGTAAGGATATTCCGGCATATCCTGTTTAATTCTCTTGTCAGAAACTATTGTGTAGCTTTTCTGTTTTTAATTGTATTCTTTTATATAAGTTTTTGTGGTAATAGTTGATTTGCTATACTCTCGCAATATTGCTGATACGTCCTGAGTGTTTGGCTTACATCTGCAATGAAAAAATAAAAGGAATTAAATAAAAGTTAATAGAATGTAGGGAGTTATTAAGGATAATAACAAAGAGTATAAAAAAATTTTAATATACCAAATTAAAACGGTTGTTGACTATATAAAATAAGCGGGCCTGATTACTTGTTTAACTACATCCTAGGATTGTGTTTTTAATATACATTTTCGGGCCCCGTACAATTTTAATTCTTTCCTCTCTATACATAAGCAGATGATATTATAAGCAGAAAAAAAGAATGTGTTTCTGTATTTAATTGAAAGTCAACTGTATAAAAATTGTTTAAGATCGTATATAAGGGAAAGACTTGTGGTTTCACAACTTTAATTTTTTTTCAATGAATTTAGAGCTACTATTACTACTATTGATTTACTAAACCCCTTCTGGAGCATAGGGCCTCCAACATCGATTTAAATCGTATTCTGTAACATCATTCCAAGTAAATCCGACTTCTTTTAATTCTTTTCCAATTGTTCTACGCCAATTTAGAATTACTCTTTCCGAAATATTTCTGATTACCGGCAGAATACTTTATTGCTCTCCAGTTTTATGGAACTGTCTTTTCCTGGTTTGAGTTATATAACAATCAAAGCTGATCACACGGCATATGTATAATAACTACATACTATTTTATATCCTTTAGCATAATATTAAGAAATACGTAGTTTGGATATTAGTTGAATATAGTTTAATTTTATCTAGCGGTCACTCTATATGGATCAAAGTGTCATATTATTAAGAACATAGATTAGAAATAACTCGATGTGATTTAAGATTTTAGTTGTATCTAGGGATCATTTTTTATGGCATTAGTTCTCAGACTGGTTTAGGCAGTTTCATATTTAGAATTACTAATGGTATAAAATCTAAGTACTCTTACATTAACATAAATATTCTAAAGTTACTATTGTTAGCAGTCTCATTTTTGTTTGATATGAGCAAACTAAAATTTACTGTTGTTTCGATTGGTAAATCTGGTTTCAATCTAGATTTACTCTCGATCTGTCAAATTTTATTGCCCAATCGAACGTTTTTAGAGTAATTTAATATGTTTGTAATTGTGTTAATATATATTTATATTTTTCATAAATACATAGGTATGTCGAATCAAAATACATTTTATCCTTCAAGTCAAATAAAACCGTAGTTAAATCTAGGGTACTCTAGGTACTCTGGCAATACATATATATATCTAGAGTGTTTAAAAAGTTACTCCAGATTTACCATTTGAAATTGGCACAATCAACCTTGTTTTAAAGATTTAGAAATTATGTAGATTAGCTAAGATAGTTTATTTTTTTATATCGTTAATTCTTTCATCTCATATATGGTATATTTGTTGATCAATATCATTTAAAAATATTCTGTAATTTTTTATTACTCTTTTATATGCTTTATATGCTCTTTAATTAATGGTGTAGTGTGCACTGATAAGCAATATCGAACATGAAACACTTGGCTTTTGTTCTCATATCCTTTGTATAATCATATCATTGGCACTTCTCGTATATCACAAGTTGTTGTCCTAATTTTAAAGTTTGTGTATATAAATATATATGTGTACATAAATATCAGTATAAGTCAGTATATAAAAGCATATTGTGCACAGTATGACATAATCGATAATTATTATACTTTAATCTTCATTAGAAAATAATTAAACCTGTCATCGTCATCAACATCATCATCATCATCATCACCATCACATTCAGCAATTATGTAGTCATCTTTTTTTATAATTAAATTTTCGTTTTTGTTTAAGGATATCTATCTAGTCTAATATAGTGAGTGAAGTTTTTTTATATATAAATATAAAGGATATATATACATTTAAATATATATAAATGATATATTTGTATAAATGTATAGTAGTCCCATACTACACGTGGGTGTGTTTAACTTAATTAATTCATTAAAAGTGTTCGGCATATAATTAGTATGCATATAGTCATTTGGCAATAGATGGTATGGGAGCGAAGGAATTTCATTTTATATTCGGTTTGGCGCATAATATCTTTGTAGCTATCATAGGTGTAATTAAAGGTTATTAAAAGCGTAAATGTATACAAAATTGAAGCCATAAAAGACAAAGTATTCCTATTATTTGGAATTTACACAATTTGTATGCAAATTTAAAATTAAGTCATGAAATTTATTTGCTTTTTATGTGTGCATGAGATGTGAAATATTACCAAAAATATAACGAAAGGAATAAATAAAATCATTGTGTACTGAAGTAAATATTTAGAAAAAATTGTAGGTCCTTTAGTAATTAACTAATGTAATTGAATATCTAAAAAAAAAATCTTTAGAATGTTTGCATTTTATTAATGTTAATTAAACGAATTTGGCATTGCAAACTTTTGCTTAATGAAGTAATTTTTATCTAATATAATTTATTGCGAGAATGTCTTGTATATACTGTATGGTAATATGTTAATATGGTCTTGTATATGGTAATTAAAATTTTTATATCTTATGGCTGGAAATCTAAATTCAAACAGAAAAGAAGATGATAGTAACAAAAATTTTAAATCCAAACATTTAGTATTAAATCACGTGAATTCAAGCTATTTGAGATACCAATCATCTTTAGTCTTTGAAAACATTTAATGGCCTATAAATTAAGTTTTCAATTAAATAAATTCAAATTATTCGAGATACCAACAAATATTTATCATCAGTGCTCTGTAAAAACATTTATTGCATTAATGGCCTGTAAGTAATTTTTGGACTCCAAGTATAAGATTATTTGTTAAAATCGCAGAAAGATATATGATTTGTAAGTGCTCTAATTTCCCATGATTCGCATCGCAGACTCTATAGGAATAGTCACTGAAATCCTAATAGCTGGCTTGCTCATTGTTCAGTACAGATTTTGATTTATGAACTTTCTAAACATTTATGTTAGACTCTGAGAATCAAAAATAATTAAACTAATAATTAAATTTTTAAGAAATCTTAGCTTTTATTTTCATCGTTATATTTTGTATATATCTATACGTATTTCGATAAATTCGCTTTTGCCTTAATAGGAGTATTCAAAATATTTATATTTTTAGATGTTATTTGAATAAATAGAGATCTGTTCTTAGTTTAGATTGCTCTGTTTATATCGTTCCCGCTAAGGTTTCTGCTTTTCAGGTTTTTAGCTTTTTGTTTGCTGTATAGTCTGCGTTATTACCCGGTTGTCAGTTAGGTTCATTCTAAGTCGTGTGGAGATCACACGATCTCCAGTGTTGCCCGCTTATTGATTGTCAGGGTTGCCGTTGTATCAAGGAGATAAACTAATTTGTGCTTTTGGCTATTAAAAACAGCTTTTTTTAATATGAGTGTAAGTTACTAATGAGATATCTTGTTACTAGTTAAAAATGAATGAGCATTTAAGTCATAATCTGTGTAATTGCCTCTAGTATGTTCATCATGTTGATAAAACCCAATAACACGGTTTTGAAAAACATTTTGAATTTGGACCAACTGGCATAAGGTTGTCCATTTCTGTCGTTTACCTTTCAAATATTATGAGTATGTAAAATGTTTGGTTTGTTTAAAAATTTTATTTTTTTCAAGTTCAAGTTTTTCAAGTGAAAGTTTTATAAAAGATAGTAAAAAAAAATTCAGTAGAAAACTGAAGTTCAAAGTTTTACGTTAACTTATAAATAATTTTCCAAGTAACTTCCTAAGAAGTACTTAATAGTCTAATAGAAGATATTTCGAATAGAAACATTTTTGGCGTTCTTTCTTAACTAATTTTTGAAATAATTAATTACATCGAAGTAGTGACATCAAAATTTACTAGCGAATAATCAAAAAGTCATCAACTCGTTAGTTTGAAACGTTAAATAAGTGACTGACCGGCAAAACTAATTGCTTTCGGATTCAATAAAAAGGCAAAAAAAAAAAAAATAAATAGTGAAAAATCATTGTTGTGGTTCGTTAACAGGAAAAAGTTAAAAAACAAAAAGCATTTGTTAATAATTAATGTTTAAGGACATAAGTGGAGACTTTGATAAGTAGAGTAATTTCAGTGCTGATTACACGCTGGCACACTTGGGCGAAGGAAACTTGTACAGCACAAGCGCTGGGATAAGGGCAGAAATATTTAAGTGATTATTGATTTCTTATGTTTTTGGTTCTGTTTTCATATTTTATTTGG